TCTCCCGCCTTGCTCTCTGCGTGCCCCTTTTCCTTTCTTGATCATCTGCGCCACTTCTCGCGCCTTTTTCTCCCCTCACCGTCTGAGTTTGGCACACGATGCCCGGTTGATCCATCGATAACTCCCGCTCGCCAATCAGGTGTGTGGATCAATAGGACCTTCCTATTGCGCCGCGAATCTGATTGGTTGAACCTTGAGTTTCGAAGGATCAACATGGCGTTCGTAGAGCGTTCTTCTCAAAGTCTTCTCCTCCTACTTGAGGCTACTTCTCCTCTTACACCTCAGCTCTCCCGTCGCTTTCTCCCCCTTCTATCTCCCCTGTCGCAACTATAAAACCCGCAAGCGTGTCCGCAAATCTCTCTTACGTCCTCGACTCTCAAGCCAGCTTCGGGGAAGCAGTGGCTAGGTAGAGTGTTTGGTGCGAGTCGGAAAGTCCTGTCGGGCTGACGATAGGCTGGCCGGTTGCACGCTGGATCGCCACGACGGACTGTGGGATCTGGGCGAACCGTGTCGAGTCTACGACAGCGGGGTGACGATCGCAGTGGTGGGAGTTAGCACGCGGCGGCCGGGATCGTCGGTGCGGGTATGAGGATTGATGATTGGAGTTGAGTGAGTTATTGGCCCGGGGCCATATTGGAATTAACGGCGAATGCGCCTTTGTCGTTGCGGACCTTTCTCTCTGAACTTCCTTCTTTTGGGTTGCGACATCTCCTATCTAGACTTCCCCCCCTCCCTCACCTTCCTCTTCTCCTCTATTTTTGAATAATGATGTGTCTCGATGTTTCTCTCCTTCTCTTTTTTTCCCTCCTCTGGATGAGTATGAATCTATATGCTTGTCGTGCGTGAAATAACTTCTTCCGGAACTCTTCCATTAGTTTCCTGGGTAATCCTCCTGCGCAAGGACCCCGTCTTCTTGTCTTGTGAACGATGGATGCGTGTGTACTGTGCAAGCAATCCATCTTTTCCTGTGCATGGCTCATTTTTCGCATCTTCCAAAGTGAATGAATGTATGGGAATGCACGTCTCTTTGGCATTGATTAGACGATTGTCATCGGGATTTTGTCCGAGAATGCAAGAGTTTCTAGATCTGTAGCTTTGAGTGCACTGCGCATGCCATCTGCCTTATGTTGTCCGACATCCGCAGCCGAACCACGAGGCGGCCTCGAGAAACAAGACGCCTGGGATCAACATCTCGCTGGCTCATTAAACCTGAGCCGCGGATCGATCCGTTAGTTACATGCATGATCGAGCTGCTGACGTGCCTTCTCTCTCTCTCTCTCTCTCTCTCTCTCTCTCTCTCTCTCTCTCTCTCTCTCTCT